TTTTTTTCGCTTTATTTTTCTCTGTGAACAAGCTCTAAAACAGCAAACGAGAAAGCATGTCGAACGGCACAAGCAAATATGTATTAGATATTATGGCATTTTGTTGTATTCTTGCGTTTTGCAATTCTTGTCACGAGCATTTACTTGAGAAAAAGGAGGAAGCATTTTTTTTATATAATTCATTCGGCGTGTGCGAGTCTGTTTGGTGAAGATGCTTTGAATCAACTTTTTTCAATGTATTTCTATATCTCTGTGTCACATAAGACTGTCGATTTTCGATGCGCTCGATGTAGATATTTCATCGAATCGTAACTACTGTTCATTTCAAGTGGTACACATTTTGTGAGTTGCCTTCGAAGTTGCCTTGCACTGCTTTAATCGAAATAAAACCACCAAAAAGCATTTTGCCTATGACAATTGTGTAATGTGCTCAATTTCGTTTATCATTTTATGTGCTACTTTTCTATCTGTGCAATATCCTGTATCGAACGAAAACGCATAGCACACAGTATCGCCTACAGCGATGACAACAACAATCCCAATGTCTGCATATTCAATTTCATCACATTCAAAATATTTATATTTTGGTATAGGCAGAAGATAAAAAATAAATAAAATAAATAAGATTTAGTTTCAAGTACTCTGAATGTGAACAATTTTTTATGTACAATTTGTTTTTCCTTTAAAAACTTTTAGGTTCGAATTTGCGTAAGATCAATGTTAGCTTGTAGTGGAACTTGTCTCCCATTCCTTTTACAAATTTTGTTTCGGAGGTGCCCAATTTATAGAAATAATTTTCGAACGGATATATACAGTATTAGTAGTCTTTTATGAACTCTATCTCTCAGTTGGTTTGCAATGTTCTGTTTTGCACGCTAAAATAAATATTGAGAGAGTTATAAACGTATGTGAAATTTAATTTATTCGAATTGCCTTCCGTAGCGGAAGCTTGACAAGCATATACCTGATTTCGTTTAAACTAAATTGTACAGTATATAAAAAGATGCGGTAACGCACCAAGATATCGAGACCAGTTGTGTGCTGCCCAAAAAAATGCAAGAAAAGCTTTACCAGTAACAGCATAGACCAATGATAGAAAAACAATGCAAAATTGAAAATAACATACACTGTGGCATGGCGGCAGACATATATATCAATTTTCTTTATAAACTATTTTCAAGGGTGAGAATGTGGTATGAAAAATGGCAAAGTTTATCGAAATAACTTGAATTTCAAATATATGAGACACTATACAGAATTCACATAAATGTTTGCGTTTTGTGTAGGAGTATGGCATTTAAATTCAATGCCTTAATCGAATCCATGCCACTAAAATGGGCTTGAAGCTAATTACATCTGATTCCGGGTGTATTCAAACAAATTATGCTCTTACTGTTGAATTATTTCTACCGAATTCTTAAATTCGAGCAGTCAAATCTCATGTACCGATCATCAACATTCTCCTCTTTCGATCCGGCTATGTGCACTGTGCATACATTATTCTTAAAATAGTCGCCGTACCGTTCAAATCGCTTGAAATTAAACTAATTAGTAAAACATTGATATTATTTAATTTAAAATAGTTTTGTTGTTTCTGTCTGCAATTTCGTTGATTACATATTTCGACTCATTCCGTTGAGCTGCTATTCATACTAATAATTCATCATGCAAAACGAGGTATCTGATGAAAATGTGAAGCTGGAAAAGTTATCTCCAGAAAAAATAAAAAAAAATGCATGGTGTCATCAATGGTAGTAGCAAGAGAAAATCCGATGAAAAAAAATGTACAATCGACTACATAGAAGAAGAAGAAGAAGAAGAAGAGTGGTAAAGATAACACCAAGAAAAGTCGATGGAAAAAATGATCATGCTGAACAAATTGATTGTGAATTAAATACTGTAAGTCATGAATGTAACAGGTGAAATTGTTCGATCTCGCAAATCCAAATTGAGCATTGCTTCAAAGAGTAGTTTATCTCCGGTTCCAACACCAAATAAACGTTTATCTGCTCGTATGTCAAGTCAAAGAATCAAAGATGCTATCGAATCCAATGATTTGGCTTTGGATGATCCAGCAGAAGGGAATCGTGACTCTGGTAAATTTGTTCGCCCTCGACAATCGAATGAAGGTTTCAATGATCAATCAAGCACTCATTAGCAGCTAAGGAGAGAAAGAGTCGTGTGTCAGTTACGGATTTAACCGATTCGCACAAACACAAAGGTTTCATCGTAAATGTGTTTAGTAATTTTTGTTTGAAGTAATAGTTGTTAAGTCACGATAACATTCGAACGTGTCAATTGAAGCTGTATTTTGGTTAAGATAGAAAACACAAGAGGCAAACTGAATTAAAAGTTATTTCGCGGCACTCCGAGAAACCAAAAACAAAAAGAAAATAGTTTGGTTTTGAACAAATTGCACGAAAGTAACCCATCAACATCATTTTACGCGGAAACTTGGTGACATATTTTCACCCAAATACCATGCAAAATGCAACATTAAAAACACAAATTAATGTGCATTTAATGCAAAGCATATTTATTCTTAACAATTTCCTGTTGTCTTTTCTCTTCTTCTTAAATTTTCTCTTACCATCTCATTCACAGCGTGTTTTACTTTGAACGAAAGAAATGTGGATGAAGTACACTACGTATTGTAAAACCCACGAAAATTATATACTATTTATGTCACAATTTGTAACTGAGGAAAAGTTTTATGTCGTCATCGCGCGGATTCTCAATACAAGAAACACTCTGTCTTTTCCACTTTCTTGTGTTTTTTTCTCTTAATTCTCTCTCTAACTTGTCTTCTTTTCTTCTCTATTCCACTCTCGCGTTGCCTCTCGTTTCTCAATACTAAATTTTCACGACAGCGATTTCGTAAAAGTCACGACAGCGACAAAGAAAAAAACTGTACCAAGAGGATAGGACGTGTTTGAAAAAACAAATTTCCACACAATTATTTGGCCTGAACATGATGTTCTTGTCGGGGGTATTTCAGTGCATTTCGTGAATATATACTTACCAAGTCCGCAAAAAATTGTACCTTACTCAGAGCACTTGATGCCTTTTTTCCGATGCACGACACACCAACTAATTTCATAAAGTTTCCGATGACATGAGCTGTAAACGTCGCTTATAAACCAAGTTGATAAGACAATCTTTATAGGATAAAAGAATGTGTGTCTGTGCTTTGTTTAAAAAAATCATGTTCATTTTCTGTTTCATACCAAAAAAAATGTTCCCAGAAATTAGTTCACAAATTCTGTCATCAGTCAAAATCTGTAAATATTGGGATTGTTGAATTTTAATTTTACAGAATATCATTCAAGATTGGATTGAGAGAGAGAGCAAGAGAGAGTAAGAACTTTAAAGCCGACGAACACCTATTTATTTACATATTGCCAATCAACAAAATTAACAATATACACAAATGTAATACCATGTTTACAGGATTCGTATGCATAAATGAATCGTACCGAAATTATGCCCAAACTGTCACACTGCTAGCGCCACGACGGAATTCAATGTAATCTACACTAAGTTGCCGCCAAATAGTGAAAAGACATTTTCTCAGTTGCAACCAACGGACTAGAACTCCATAATTGTCCGTAGTGGCGCTAGCAGTGCTATAGTTTTGCATTTTATACAGTCTCTTATGGGGCATAATTTCGGTGTGAAATGAATGAACAGCAGATAAAAGCCTTTGAGTTTATTTTGGTTGAAAAATAAACTCTCTCCCTCTGTCTCTCTGTTGTTGTTGGAAATTTGTATTTATTTGAGGTACATCATCGTTGTCATTATCGGTAATGTGTAAACAATATTCACGAAACAACTAGACAAATACTTGTCATCACCATTGGATAAATGACAATTGATGTAAAATGCACATTTAAGTGGCTTGTTCGTGTGGGTATATATGATGGTTGTTTGTTGTAATGTTAAAATTGTTATTGTTGAAAGAGTGCCATGTATTAATATGACTCTTGTCACCATCATTGTCAGTCATCATGACTATCATTGTCGTTCTTTGGAGCAAATCAAAACAATTCCAGTGAAAATGACGTTGCAGCTTGTGTAGTGTATCGGTAGGAATACACACTCGCAAATCATATATTTTGTGTCCAAACGGTATTGTGTTGGAACACTTTTTACCGATTCAGTGGTTTACTGGGTGGTACGCGTTATTTCTTTCAACCAATTTGATTTTGGTGTGAACGTTAGTATTCAAATACACAAATACCAACCATTTTGTGGAACACATTGAAATTATTCGATTCGAAAATGACAAATCTTGAGATGAATACCGTGACATAATTTCATAATATGTTTATTTATATTTAATCGAGATAAAGCACGTTGGCATATCACAAGTTTATTTGTTAAATGCTTACATGAATTTTCTGTCGCCATATATTAAAGAATGGAATCGACGCAAATTTACTTAATTATATTCATTTTCGAAAACATGACTATACTACAAGAATATACATGCAAACACACGCACACACAGCATATTGTTTCTTTGATTGAGCATCAACACGATTGACAGTAGATTTTGCATCGAAAGACAAATATATCGATTAATTGGTTGTACTCTTCGCTCTCACGCTCTTCCCCCCGCTCCGATGTAGTGGTAATGTATTTCGTAATTTGAGTCCTGCTCTGATTCCGAACCGACTTCCATCACTAATACACTTGCAACACGATTGAATATTCATTTGAACTTCGTTTATGCTTCAATAGCTGTAGTGCTGCTACAGTCACAAGCGTTTTATCAACAGAAAGAAAGACATAAAGAGAGAGAGAATGTTTATAACAAATAAATAGCGTTGTGTTTGTTTGTTGGCGAATTTCAACATTTTTCTTAGAACATTAGACACTGGTGAGTATTGGTATCACTTTTGTTTTCATATCATTGAACGATAAGTATACTCTTTCTCTCTCATCGTGTTCGTGCTATGCCTCGTTGTGTGTCAGTCTGTATATCTGAATTTTTGGAATTGTTTTACTCTGTATTTGATATCAGCGAAGCACATTTCATTGCTCTTTTGCAAGCAGATCGGTTGGAAATCAGTCAGTAAATTTCGATGTTAGCGGCATTTTTTAGTTGCGGTGTTTAACTTTGGCAATTTTTTTTTCGGTTTCTCACTTCAAATCAATTACGATATATTTTCGGGACTATTATCAGTTTTTGTGAGTTCATTATTTATTATCGTTGAATGAGTTAAATTATTGCTCGAGCATAATATTTTGCTATTTCGTGATTTGTGCCAATTTTTTCAGAGTAATTTCTTTTACCGTTATCTTCCAATACATTCATCTATTACGGCAACGTGCAGGCAAAAATCGTCCAATCTAAAATGGCACAAGCAGTTACACGGAATTCACCATATGCCATAGGCCATGAATTTATTCGACAATATTATACGCTTATGAATAGAAGTCCGAAACATATGCATCTTTTCTACGATGATAATGCAAGTTTCACTCACGATCACCTCGATTTCAACGAACGGCGTACAGATAGAGCCGATGAAAAAACGGTCATTCGAGCTATAATGGTAGAGCGTTCACACCATTTCACGCACACCAGCACATATGTTCATAATATCGAAGCGGTCGAAACGATTAACGATGGTCTTATTGTCCAAGTTCTTGGCGAAATTTCATTCAATCAACAAGCTATGCGTCCATTCAGTCAGAGCGTAATTTTGTATCCAAGAGCACCAAATCATTATTTTGTGCAAAATGATATTTTCCGGTTTTTAGATCACGATATGGACATTCCGTCACCGGTAAGAGTTCGTTCAAATGCTAGCGCCGAACTAACTGACCAAACCACCCAAACTAGCCTATCAATGGATAGCCAAGCAAGCCATTCCACACAAACCACCCAAACCAATAAAACCACACAAACCACACAAACGAAACAAACCAAACAAAGCAAACAAAACAAAGAACCCAAACAAAGTGATTCGATGGAAAAAATTCAGGCCGAAGATTGGGGAACACAATGCGAAGAGTATATTGAACCGTACGAAGAACATGTTGCAAGGCAGAATATGCCACGTGCTAGTCACCAAATTGATTATAGTACGGATGAGGTAAAATTGGATACCAGCGACAGTGGATTGTCTAGTGATGCTGAAAAGGCAATCATGGACATTCAATCCTTGAATCTGAAGACAATATTGCAAGAGTCAAAAACAATTACCAAAGAAACAGTCTATAAGCGTGTACTAACACCTCCAACTTTCCTCGAAAATGAACCGTCAACAGACACAAATACAGCCACCGCCACGGTCGAAGACATTTCAGAAAATCATACACAACTATTTCGTGATTCATGCATTCTAACGATTGGCAATGTAATTAATCCCAATATTGAATTGTTCGATGAAGATGCTGTACGATTGGAAAATGCGACAACATCAACACAATTTGCACCATCCGACAATGATAAAACACAGGAGAACATCGATGCAATAAATACGTTAAAAAATGATGAGAATAGTCAAGGAAAACTCAAGTATCGTAAACGAAAAAACAAACTAAAAGTTAAAAATGAAATGCAAAAAGATAAATTACACGATGAATGCATTGAAAAGGTCGAAACAGAACCAAAGTCTGCTGAGCTCGCATTGGAACAAAATACCGTATCCAGTGAAATACCCGCAAATACAATAGATGCAACACCGACGAACAAAACGCCAAATGAAAATTCAACTATGCCAACACAAGATCAAAGTATGGCAGAACATGTTGAACAAGAAACGCCGAAAGCTAGTTCGTCCGAGACTAAAACATATGCCGATCTGGCAAAGGAAGGGAGTAAAGAAGAATGGATCGATGAGCTGGCAACACAGCGAGACAACCGCAACAAGAGCCGGCCTCCATTAGTGCGACGCGTCGAGAAAACCACCCCGCCAAATAGTAAACCTGGTATGTATTTTTCAGACATTATAAAAAGATATTTTCAGCCAGATGAATCAGCTCAGCCAGATATCGTCAGGGGCTGAAATGGAGTGAAAACAATAAAAGTGATTGTATAGTGATTGTAGCAATGTAAGTGTAATTATATAGCCATAACAATCACTTCTATTGTTTTCACTCCATTTCAGCTCCTGACGATATCTGGCGGAGCTGATTCATCTGGCTGAAAATATCTCATTATAATGTCTGGTATTTTTGAAAAATTGAACCTTTCATTTAAACATAACCAACATTTATGGCAAAATTAATAATTTATTCATTTTTACATAGCAGATTCAAGTTTTACAAGTCGTTCATCGCCCAAAAATGATCAATGTCAAGTATTCATCGGAAACATACCGCATACCGCGACAGAAGAAGGCATTCGAAAAATGTTCTCACGTTTTGGACGCATCACCCGGCTCAGACTACATTCGAATAATCGAAAGGACTGGCTTCCATATTATGCATTCATAACATACGAAACGATTCAATCCGCTAAATATTGTTTAATGAAAAAGGTGAGTTTTGATCAATTCAACAGTTGATTATCTTTTAAATTAAGAATATTTTTTTGAATTTTTACTAAAATACATGTACATGTAATCATTTCAGAGCACTTTCTATTGGCCCGAAAATAATCCAGACGGACAAAAGCTGAATGTCAACGGTGATCCGTCCATAGATGTTTGGGAAGAATCGGGAAGCCGTCGATTGAGCGATCCACCACCACATCGAGGCCGTGAATTGCGACAATTTAGCAAAAACTTTGTCTTAGGAAACAAAGAAGGTACCAACAAGCGATCTCCAGATTCTGATACAAACGTCAACGAATCGGCAAAAAATGAACGCCGCAAGGGATCAAACAAAAATTGAAATTTGTCACATACTCCATTCATCATTCTACCTGTCTTTACATAAGTAAATTTAAAAATTTATGAATTTCTCCATTGTGATTTAACAGTTCCAAACTCTTAACACATCAAATAATATTTATTGTTTTTACAATCAATTTCGAAATTATACACATATTATGAATAAGTATTTTTTCACATCAACAAAGTGAATCTAATTCGGCAACATAAATAAAAGTTTCTCGTCATTCGCATCGAATGGAAATGATCGATTATGATGAAACAATTCTTAAACAAAAATCAAACATCGTTAATATGAAGAAAAAAATGTCCAATGGAAACATTATAAAATTCAGCATACGAGCAATAGCAAATGATAGAAAAATGATTTCCATTTATTTTATTAAAAATATATTCAATTCAACGTGAAGAAGTTTAAATCACCAAAATTGTACCATGGTTGTGATTTTATAGTCATATATATTGCGACAAAAATTAAAATTGATCGTGTGCAATCATAGTTAAAAACAAATTAAAATTGTAGCAAACTTTTCATTTCTTTTCAACATCTAATACGAACAATAAATTGCTTAACTTATTTTGATTTTGTTGAAAGTATCGATTCTTCATTTTTTCACACATTATTAATAAGGAATAATTTTGACCCTGGAATAAGGCCAAACAATATTTATATCTGAATTGTTATTAACTAAGGTGAGAAGAAAAATGCTCTTGTAGCTTATTCATTAGTATAAGGAATTCTGCAAAATATATTTATAAATAAAATCTCGTGACCATTACTCTAAACTAATCCAAAGAGAAAGCCATTCAACTCTAACATATTTATTATATTCTTTGATAACACTTCATACCATTTTTCAATATGATTTGATGATCTAGATTCTAATTTTTTTGAATGAAATTTTAAAATAACCAAAATCTGTAAAAAAAATTGACATTTGAGTTAAATCTAAACCGAAATAACTGAACGTTTTCGATTCGATTTGTTGTTTTGTTCTAAAAATGCTGTGTAGAAATTATTTATTTATTGCTCATTAGTAATGCCGTTTCACAAAACCATAATTCTATCTAATAAAAAATTGCGATAAAGTGAAAGGAATGATTTTAAATACGATTTATTACTTGCAAATTGGCATAATTTTTTTTTGATTATTATTTCTCTAATTGTGCCAAAACATTTCTTTGCCAAAGAGTCTTTGCAATTTCAAATGTATCTTATTTTGATGGCATCAAGTTATTGACACAAATTGGTTATATACCACGTCAAAAATACTATTACATTTGTGTACTGTTTGCCACTTTGAGAGTATTGCTGTTCACGGAAACATAAAAATACCTCGTTGCATCCTTTCGTGGCGTGCTGTTTCAACAAAACACAAACTTACTTTCGATCATGTTGCTGTAAATATTATTAAAGTAGAGCATACAACCGTGCATACTACACAGAGCAATAGGCTTACGTCAACCAAAGCTATTCAAATGATGTGATGTACTCGGAAGATAAACATCTCATCAAAAATATCATTGTGGCTGTTTTCACCATCGCATCTAATCAATTCACTGAATTTTTTTTTCTTTCCTGAAACAGGGAATTATATTTCATATCTTTTGCTGGCATTCGCTACATGCTAGCGATTCCGTACTTTGTTCCTCTACTCCTCAACACTTTTGTAGCGTATCTGAATGCCTTGAAAGCATGATTGTATCGGAAGCGGAACACGGTGTATTGCAAATTTCCTTTTTGAAATAACAACGTACGCATAGTGAAATAAAGAAATCTTTTGGCTAATAGGCTCTAAAAGCCCACATGGGAAATTGTGAAAGTATGTATGTTTTGCATAACAATAAAAAAAAAGTTCAAAAAAAGAGCAAATATATCAACGAGAATGGAAAAAGAGAAACTTTTTTATTGCGATAAAACAATTGCCTTGCACGTACGACCGCAAATATAATATTCGCGCATCCATTATATTTACGTCGTTTTTTTATCTATAAACTTTTACATTTTGAGCAATTTTTCCAAAATTAAAAACTCAAACTTGACTTTTTACACATACACTTTTTATTTTACATAAACAAGGACTATACGTTCCTTATAAAGAGTATAAATATACATGCATCCACATATAATCTATAATTCAAATATTTAAAAAAAACAAATTCAGTGGAGGCAGTTTTCGATGGAAAAAAACCCAGAAGAAACGGCTTCAAAAGAACTCATATTTTAACAAAAAGTCTTAAGATCCCAAAAACTGCAGTAAACAGTTGAATGATTTCTGTATCCGCAAAGTTCCGTGCCATTACGGTTAAAACTGAATAATTTAAAATCCGTTTTAGCTAAAAACTTCAAAATCGTTATGGTTTGTAAATTAGTGACAGAGTCGGAAATTGCGGTATAATTTCAGTGCATTTTATTGAATAATACGTTGATAATATTGCCATACAAAATCCACTTTGTGCAATTTCCATTTCTCTTTCATTCGTAAATTGCATGTTTTTCCAAGCAAAACATAGCATACTTGTATCGATTTGTAGATTTTCTTTCAATTAAATACGAAACGTGACACATACTTGTCATCTCATAACATTTTATGAGCGGCAACTGAAATTCATAAACCGCCGCCTGTTAAACGCACCAACAACGACATGACTTTGAATGCATTTATCGAAGAATGACTCGACGCTTGAGTTTATGTGTAAGGCGTCGAATCATTTTGAAACACTTTGAGAACGGTTATATGCATTGTAAGTGAAAAAATGCGGTAATATTTATGAACAGCAATAAAGAGTCCTAATCGGTCTAGAGCGGTGTGCATTTTCCCCGCTCAGTGGCGTTCCATGTGTGCTGCCAAAAAAAGATATATATGTCAAAGTGTACAAACATACACAGAAAATGTCGGAACGAGAACACAAAAATTGATTTATTGCATAACATTTTTCGTACGTGGTTTTTTCCATTTATTTCTCCTTTGTTCAGTTTCAATACGACGTTGTGTGGTGTTCGTTCTGTTCTTTTTTTCCTATTTGTTTTATTTCATACACAAATGAAACTTAATACACTTTTATTCAGAATGAGTGAAAAAAAATGAGAAAATATGTATTTACAGGGGCTCATATTCGAATCTTTAGTCAATAAGTCAAATGGGAAAAAGTCTTAACTTCCTTTTTGCAGTGCTTTTGATCGCCTTTTCCTTGTCCTGAGTCGATTTCCGGTTATGGTTGGAACTATTTTATTGCAATCTCTTTCATAAAATTCCAGTAAATAAATTTGTAAGAAAAGACTTGTATAAGTTTGCGAGCCAAGCGTAAAGTATTGTGCACGAAATGCTTTTGTACTAAATTGTTGGTTAATTCAAGTCATACGATTTTATTAAACGCAATATAAATTATGTGTTTGCTGTTGACAACTTCTGTATGTCTATATAACGCATCATATGTGTATTAACGCCACAATCACATTGCTCTCTTGGTTTCATTCCTTTTACTTTCGCTTTTTTCCGGATGACGTGAAGCAGATGTCACATAAAGACACTCACCAACGAAAAACACAAAAAATGTGATCGTTTTACAAGCAAGGGTACATAGATATTTATTTTTTTTTTATTTTTTTTTGAATGACAAAATATTTATTCGCAACGTATAAAACGATGAACGAATAATGAAATATTTTCAATGAATTTTCGCAGTTGTCGTATTTTGATATATAAATCTTATTTTCGAAGAAGTTACAAATAACAAATATGTCGACGAATTTTGAAATATAAACACAAAATATTAGATTTGATATGAACTCATCTAAAAAAAACAAAATTTTAAAATATATGCGAATTGGAACAGCGATGGCATCATCAGGTACATCATATGAGTTCTCTCGATTACACTTCGATTTGGATGTTATTGGTATTTCTCGTAGCATATGTAGCCGAGCATACGGAGGAAGCAAATTGAAATTAAGGATGGATATACGCTTGAATTCTCAACAAAACCACGCAACGATGAAAAAAATAACGAAAAGAATCAAAATGTTCGTGACACAATGGCAGCCATTTGTTTTCACAAAACCACCAACGCGTGCGGAGAGATTAAACATGACAAACAAAATCATCAAAATTCTGGGATAGGGAATAAATCAAAGCCACCACACACATACGCACATGTTAACACGCATATCAGATAGATGTGCATGTACCGATACAAATGATTTAATATTCGAAAAACGTACACCATTCAATAAACGCACACAGAATACAGAAGTCGAATAGAGACAAAGCTGAAAAATATTTGCAGCACAGATTGTTCGATGTACCAGTGAGCGACAATCAAAATAGAATTATGAGGCAAAAGTAATTGAATTTTAAAGCAACAAGGAAAAATTCCACCAGCACAGTGTGCAGAAAAAAAATTGAATTTCGATAAACAGAACTAATTTGTTTTTTATCGAAATTTAACACTTAAAAATATAATTTTAAGCGGAAAATTTCAATTATGTTGTTCAACAAAGTACCATTCTCTTTACTTGATGGATCTGATTGAGGTACTATGTTAAAGGCATCTATTGCAATTAGAAACATGCCGGATTCGTCTTGTCAACGATTGGTTTGAAAGGACGTCTTCATATGCATCAAATTCCAAATGATTTTCGTGTCATGATTGTACTTATCAATGTAAGTCGTGTTCGTTTATTATTCAAAAGTCAAGAGTCACAATTATTGCTTGGCTCGAGTCATAAGTATGAATGGACGAAATCTGTCTCTTTATGCAAAATAGTTCTGTTTATGTAAAGCTTATGCTGGCTCAAGATTCAAATCGGTCGAAATGAGTGACAGAAAACATTCTTCGGATTATTTATTGTCATACATACATTCTGATTGAGGTGAAAATACTCATTTCACACATTAAACATGAATCGCACGAGTGATATGTCTAAATGTGCTCATAGACATGGAATCCGGAAGTGATTTTGTCCAACAATTACATATAAAGTTATATATATATGCATGAGACGAAGCAGAAAGACGGAGACGCACACACATTTACCAACATTATCTCTTGAATACTTATGTGAATGCAAAGTTTGGAGATTTTCAGAAAATGGTCTTTGATAAACCAACTGCAAAATATATGGTGAAAGTTCGAAATTGAAACCATAAATCTGTTTTATCACATTTCGAAAAGGGCATTCAAATTTTGAATTCGATCTAGTTAAAAGTTGTTTCAGAAAAATGGCATAAACCTTTAAAATCAAGTCATAATCCTGTATGAAAAGTTTAACTTTTTTACAATTTTGCTGTTTCCACTCTTTTAAACGCACACTTCGTATAAGTCCTTTTGTTGAATTATAGGGAAATGTTTTTATTAGTGAATGATTTTTTTTTTGAATTTTTATATATATTCTTGAGACCGAGAAAATGACAGACCTAAAACCATTGGCGATTAATTTAAACTTCTATAATCCCTTCAATTGTTATGAGCACATCTTCAAATCTTAAATCTGGTATACCACGTAAGCTCTTTGTGTCATTCTGTTTAGGCCGAGAATTTGATTTAATAACATTCAACTTTCGACATACTATGCCGAATGTGAACACGAAAAT